TATACTTGACCCTATTCCCTGCCGTGGTTTAGGTTCGAGTTGTTTCCCGTCTTTGTGTTTGTTATGTTACTAATCAATTTTTTCTTCATTTCTGATTTCTTAAGTCCAGGAGTAGGAGCCTCGACTTATATCAGGTGGTATGAGAGCTCCGGTTCAAAGACAGTGGCATACATATCCTCCTATCTTGTGCGAAAATCAACCAAACAGGTTATGTGTTCTTAAACGTCGCCAAGAAGATTTTTATTTTCGTTCTTGATTAGTTTGAGTTCGTTCTTAATTGTAACGTAAGCCTGTTGGAAAAAATCTTTATAGAAAATACAAAAAAAAAAAAACGAGCACAAAAGATCGAAGAGTAGCTCGCAAAAGACAAAACAAAGGCTAGATCACGCAAGTTTTTTCTTGATCAAGTTTTTTGCGTTCTTGGTCGATTCTTGGTCACTTTATTTGGTTTCTTGAGGATCTGATTTGCTTGTTATAACTTATAAGGGTACTTGATAGGAACTCGTTTTTTTTACTTTCTTGAGGCTCAAACTAGTGCTTTATTGCTTGTTGTATGTGCGGATTGGGAAGCTCATCTAGGGTTTCGAGAGTGCGAGTGGAAAGAGGCTTCGTGATTCCAATATCGATTAAAAGCCAATTGTTTTGAGTGAAACACGAGTGGTAAGAAAAGAGTGACCTGCAAATGAGTGAAAAATGTGAGAGAGTGATTTGGTGAGGTCCTTGGTTCATACCATGCACTTATCTAAAACTTAAGAATAGACGGATTTATCTTGTTTGAGTTTGAAGATTATGGCAGGAAAAGAAACTGAAACTCATGAGGTCCAAGAGGAATCCATGGAGATTCCAAATGTGGAAGGAATTCCTTGAGCTACAATGGAGTTCCTAGTTGGTCATCTCACACGTATGATGTGGACTCAACATGATCAGCTTCATAACCGCCTCGATGAGATAGCGCTAGCCATTAACCTCCACAAAAATGACGAGGAAGAAGCATCACCACCACTACGTGGGAGATACGGTCGAGTCTTAGGTGATGATGGTCAGTATCGAGCCTTGAGGAACCCTTAAGCTGAATCCTTATGAGGAAGTGGAGGAAAAGTTCAAGGTAGAGGAGACTGTGCTCAACCTCAAGCTCGAAGGCTTCCAGAACCTTGAGACTTTGAGGAGTACTACGAAGAGAAATAGTTTCCCCAACATAGAGACGATGATATATAAAGAGGCTAAAGGTGGAAGTTCCATCATTTCAAGGAAGGAGTAATCCAGAAGCTAACCCAGAATGGGAACGAAAGATGGTGTACATGTTTGAGTGTCATGACTACTCCGATCGAAAGAAGGTAAACATAGCTTCCCTTGAATTTTATGACTATGTGGTTATTTGATGGGACCATTTGTGTGCTACGAGAAGGATGCATGAGGATAAACCTATGCCAACGTGGCAAGAGATGAAGGCAGTTATGAGAAAAGGATTCGTACCTATTCACCATCGGCGTGAGCTTCACCAAGCTTTCCATGCACTAAGGCAAGGCACGACGAGCATGGAGGATTATTTCAAGGAGATGGATACCCTTATGATCTGAGTTCACATCAATGAGGATAGGGAGGAGACTATAGCTAGGTTTCTCAATGTTCTCAATCGAGAAATTAGACATGTCATAGAGATTCACCATTATGTTGAAATTGAGGAGTTGGTGCAGATGGCAACTAAGGTTGAGAAGAAACAAAAGGGAGGTTTTGCGCAAAGTTTTGCACCTTAAACGAGTGCTATCACAAATGCACCTCAAGATCCTTTTGTGAAGAAGGAGGATTCAAAGCCGACACCAACCCCAAACAGACAAATAAATGAAGGAAAAGCTGTTTCTAAAACATGAACGAGCTCCATTGTGTGTTTGCGATGTTAGAGTCATTTTCATATGGAAAATCAATGAACAAACAAAAGGACAATGATTGGGATGGAGAATGGTGAATACGAGTAAGGGGGAAAAAGATGGTAACTGGACATTGAAGATGAAGAAGAGGAAGTTGAAGAGCTACCGGCACATGGTAATTTTTCATATGTAGCTCGAAGGCTCTTGAAGTACAACCAAAGGAAGAGATTGAGCAGTGAGAGCACTTGTTCCATACTCGTTGCTTGGTAAAAGGGAAGCTTTGCTCATTGGCCATTGATGGAGGGAGTTGTACCAATGTGGTAAGCTCTCATTTGGTGACAATTTGATCGAGCTACCCAATATGATGGCAAGACCAAAAAGTACTCCTTGTCTTGTAATGGCCGGACTCATGTGTTGGTGCCACTAACCTCCAAAGCGGTCCTCGACGACCAATTGAAGATGCAACAACTATGAGAAAGAAAGGGAGCAAAGAAATGAGTTGAGAGAAGATACGAGAGAAAATCATAGTGTCCCTACCTCTGTGGGTCAACCACGAGAGAAGAATATGATTTCACACGTTGAGAAGAAGAGAACGATGAAAGAATCTCCACATGAGGTTGAGAACTTTCTTGTGAGAGCTAGTGAGGTGAATCAATCCATGAACCAAAAAACACGACATGATCCCGCTTTTGTACAATGAGACATTCTTAAGTGTTCAACTATACACTAGCTTTCCTAGTGAAATTCGTTCTCATTTGCAGGAATTCGAGGATGTATTTCCTAAAGAGGCACTGCAAGGGTTTCCACCTCTTATACGCATCAAAAATCGAATTGATTTCGTGCCTGGAGTATCCATTCCTAACAAACTATCCCTTTGTCACCTCTTAGATAAACTTGTCACGAGGTTTTGGTGGGAGTTGAGGGGGGACGTTCATGCAACATGATATCACATGGAGGGGAAGCAAGCAGGCAACTGACTTTATCTATGTCTCTCTTGCTGTCCATGATAAAGTCCTCTGCTTCGATTGCTGCAATCGCTAAAGCAATTTCTCCTCAACAAATCGGCACATCATCATTTCTGACTGGGCGATAAGAGTAGCGAGGCTGAAGTATTTATCCTAAACCCCCCACCGCCTCTACACCCAGAATTTGGGCAAGAATGTCCCGGTCTGGTTGCAAGATATTTTTGCTAAAGCAGACTACAGATTTAGCACAGTTGACCCCTTGACCACTTAACTCCTCGTACAAATTGAGGATCACAATCAAATTCAAATGGGAGTTTTTTCTCATAATATTCTAATGCAATATTTTTGTCTTGTAAGTTATACCACATCGGAAGGTAAAATTGTGTATTTAATTAATTTTTCTGAAAGAGACAATCGGTCTATTGGTGAGTGATACTCATGAAAATAATTAATCCCTTAGCAAAAAACTTTACATATTATAAGTAATGCAGTCAAAATTGAGATTTTACCTAAAATTGAAAACTTGGGTAAAATCAAAATCGTAAAATAGAAAGATTTTAAGTATCATGTAGAACATATAATAATATTAATAAGATAAATTATTAATAACACAAATACACATACCCTTTTAAATGATCATTCTCCAGATTAATGTTACAAAATCATCTTTTTTAATTGTTATTTAATGCATAACTCAAAATAATTCATGAGGAAGGGATATAGCTCATGGGATTTTATTTTGTTTTCATGTTATTTCTAGGTAGTTTAACACAATGTAGTAGTATCTGGCATTGTCTACTAAGCATGATTTAAAACTAAGAATAAGTGAACTCCAATGAAATATTTTTTTAATAGAAAAATATTTGAGAAGATCTCGTCGTTTTCTTTTCTGCCGAAACAGTTCCACTTCTTTTAAATTGGCTCAAATTTTCTATTTTGTTATCATAAACCCGATTTTGGCACGATATGATTTTGACGATTTTAATCCCGATTTTAAACAACTTTAAGGTCCACCAATTTTATAGTAAAATTAGGATCGGAATCTCTAAGTAATATTCTAAAATCCTATGATTTTAGGATCAAAATCTCAATTTTAACTAAATTTATTATAAGTAGCGTGTTAGCCTAATTTTGAGAAGGAAGAGATCGATATATCGAAGCCAAACATGCAACCATCATATTCTTTTGACCTCATCTAGTCGAGTCTTGAACGTTCCAAATAAAGCAATCATAGTTACGCACCAAACATCAAAATCGACAAGCTTTACTTCTTCATTTCATTAACAATGAGTTGGTCAATCCGTCGAGTATGAATCTCATCGCCACATCAACTACAGAAATTGGTCAACTAGCCATTGAATAATTGTCAAGAAATCGACACTAATCCAATCCAATCCAATCCAAGTTGTCTCACTCTTCCGTTCAAATTTCTTACTTGAGCTTAACCAGCTACTCATATGAACACCTAAAGAGGGTAGAAAATTGTCAAGAAATCGACACTAATCCAATCCAATCCAATCCAAGTTGTCTCACTCTTCCGTTCAAATTTCTTACTTGAGCTTAACCAGCTACTCATATGAACACCTAAAGAGGGTAGAAAATTGGAGACGGAAAAATAAATTAAGAGTGGGTGAAAATTAGAATGAAGTGAAATAAAAATAATTCGTCAGTGCTCCCCGTGAACCACCTGAGTTTTCCTTGTTGGTGCTCCGGACCCGGCCAATAGGAATCATACATATGGAATAATTTAATTTAAATGGTTGTTGCATATGTTTCCAATTCGGTAATTTATATTTAGACCTTGTTTGAAACCTCCAATTTTAAACATTGTAAATTGATTTACGCTTTGAAATTAGCTTCTGCAAATAGAGGATTAGGGTTTTTAGCTCCGTAAAATTCGGAAGCGGAAAAACACACGGCCAACGTGCAACTGGAGCAAAACACCTGTGCTATGGCGACGGTGGCCGAGCCGCCGCCGGGAGGGAAGGACCACCACCAGTTGCCGATAGATGAGTTAGCAGGTATGCGACGACCACCGACGGGGTCTTCCTCACCTAATGCTAGGAGCGAAAAGGAAACCCAACACGCCAAAAAACGAGTGAAACCGTCTAAGGGTACACAGACCGATGAGATTTTTGAAGATGCTGCGGAGGAGGTGGCGACAGAGACTATGCATGGACCGTCGTTGACTGGAGCATGGACTAGCAAAGGTGGGGCGGCGCGAAAGCTATTCCCGGATCGCCCAAGGACCGAAGAATGGTATGTTGCGGATTCTGATTCAGAAGACGTGGCGGAAGCTATAAGGGAAGATGGTTTGGAGGAAGAGATCGATGATGAGGACGACCCAACGTGCCCACCAATCCATTTTACAACAGCTGAGAAGAGGATGTACCAAAGACCATGGCGATCAGCCCTAGTAGTAAAACTTTTGGGACGATCGACCTCATATACTGTGTTGTGGAATCGACTGAACGTGTTGTGGGCCAAAACGGGCGGAATCCAAGTGACGAATGCCCGCAATGGTTTCTATTTGGTAAGATTCACGAGTGGTAATGACTTCGAACGAGCTCTAACGGGGGGACCATGGATGATTGGTGATCACTACCTAACTATGCACCTATGGGACAAAGACTTCGATCCGTATAGCACGCAGATATCGACGACGTTAGTCTGGGCACGTCTCCTGGATCTGCCGATATACTACTTCCATAAGGAGGTGGTTATGAGAATTGGGAGGAGAATCGGGAAACCGTTATGAGTGGACAAAGCAACAGAGGAAGTAGCGAGAGGCGAGTATGCTCAAGTATGCGTGCAAGTTGATCTCACCAAACCACTACTTTCGATGTTCAAAATTGATCGTAAGAAATACTTCATTCAATACGAGGGGCTCGAGAAGCTCTGTTTGCAGTGTGGAGTGTATAATGAACGGGCGCTTTGTCATTGTTCGACAAAAGAACCCATGGATGAAGGTGAGAAGAGCCATGGGGCGGATGCACATGAGCAAACCGAACCAGAAAGTACATATGGTGCATGGATGATAGCAAAGAAGAAGAAAAAACCAGAGAAGAGGGGTGTCACACAGACGGGGAAGTTGGGTGGCGATGGCATGAAGAATCAGGTGGAAAGTGAAGCTGGGAACACAGGCAATAACACAAATAGTTTTGCTGCCCTTGTGGTTGAGTCGGGAGGAGTCTCATCCCCGCCAAAGGAAATATTCTTTGCTGAAGCTTCAGAACATACCAAGGCACAGGGGAGTACTGATAGGACTGAGCTAGACGGCCCTATACCTCTTACTAATACATATACGCATAAGACCAATAAGAAGGGAGAACGAGGCGGTTCAAATAAGACTATAAAACCCAGTGTTGGTCTAACGAAGGAGAAAACGAACGAGGGGAATAACCGAGCTAGTCAGAAGCAGCAAGGAGATGGGAGCACCTGCAACCCCCGAGCTCGAGATACTGGCACCGAACCATTGAACAACAGCCTACAGGCAAAAGTGGGTCCGCGACCAGGGAAGGAGAAAGCACAAGCTGTGGGAACGAAATGTGGAGTGGATAGCAAAGGCGCGGGGAGCCTATCCCCTTCTGGAAATAGATGAGAATCCTCAGCTACAACTGTCGCGGGTTGGGGAATACGCGATCAGTTAATGCTTTAAGGGCGCTGCTGCGCAAAACATCCCCCCATGTGGTTTTCCTCATGGAAACAAAGCAAACAGAAGGTGAAAATGCGACCACTAGAGAGTACTGTGGCTTCAAGAGCGGAGAGTGTTGGCCGGCTATCGGAACAGGGAAAAGCAGGGCTGGTGGAGTCAGTATTTGGTGGCAAGAGGAAGTGACTGTGGCAAAGATGGCTTATGATCTTCATTACATTGATGTGGCGATCGATGAACCAGAAGAAGGAAGATGGCGTTTCACTGGCATCTATGGATGGCCAGAGAGTAGTGATAAGTGGCAAACATGGGAGTTGATTCGATCACTGGGCCAGCAATGGAGGGGGCCTTGGCTCTGTGGGGGCGATTTCAACCAAGTTCTTTCGACAGTTGAGAAGAGTGGAGGAAGACATGCTCATGAGACAGCTATGAGTAACTTTGGCGACTGCCTAAATGAAGTAGGGCTCCAAGATTTGGGTTTCTTTGGATACCCATTCACGTGGGAGAATCGGAGAAGGCAAAGGGGTTACATAGAAGAACGTTTAGACAAATTTTTAGCAAATGATAGTTGGCAGCAACTATTTGTGAATAGCCGTGTGTTACATGTTGATCGAGCTAGCTCGGATCATCGTCCCATTTGCTGTGATACTAGGGGAGAAGAGGATGTTGAAGTAAGATGGGGAAGATCTTTCCGTTTTGAGCCGCATTGGACTAAACATGTAGACTGCCCCCGGGTTATTGAGGAAGCGTGGAGGCCTGGAATAAAGGTGCATACCCAGCCTTTGCGAAGCAAAAGCGCAAGATTGAGAGGGCGATTCGAGTACTGGAACGTAGAAGGAAGTCGGAGGATACGTTACGACAAATTCAGCAATTGGAAAAGGAGATGGCGGATGTATTGGATAGTGAAGAACATTATTGGAAGCAACGTTCTCGAGTCGATTGGTTGGGCGGGGGAGACAAGAACACAAATTTTTTCCATAGAAAAGCGACAGCTCGGCGGAGAAGGAACACTATCAAGAAGATACAAGATGAGTCGGGACGGTGGTACGTAGGACAGGACGACGTTACTACATGCATGATGGATTATTATATTTCACTGTTTACGGCGGGGGAATCCCCGAGTGCCTGGACAGTATTAGAAGCAGTAGAGCGGCGGGTTAGTGAGGAGGATAACGAGCTGCTGTTGAAGCCGTTCAGTAGAGAGGAGATATGGGGGGCATTAAAGCAAATGGGGAAGAGGAAAGCCCCAGGGGCAGATGGCCTCTCAGTACTGTTCTTCCAGAGATATTGGCACATTGTAGGAGATGATGTCGTTGCGGCAGTGATGGAAATTTTGACTACAGGGTCAATGCCGGCAAAGCTTAATCACACGCTTATTGCACTTATTCCGAAGACCAAGCAGCCTCGAACGCCAAAGGAGTTCCGGCCAATAAGCTTATGCAATGTGTTATATAAGATGGTTTCGAAGGTACTGGCAAATCGTCTGAAGCCACTTCTGGACAGGATCATCTCACCATCCCATAGTGCCTTTGTGCCAGGCAGGTATATAACTGATAATATTATGGCGGCTTTTGAGTGTTTTCACACGATGAAGGGTAGCAAAAAACATAAACATGGATTTTTGGCCGTAAAAATCAATATGGCTAAGGCCTACGATAGGGTGGAGTGGAATTTCCTTGAAAGAATTATGAGGCGGCTTGGCTTTGCAGATCGCTGGATCCGGTTAATTATGATGGGGGTGACGACAGTTTCTTACTCTGTGCTGGTAAATGGTCATCGATCACCGACTTTTACCCCCACTAGAGGTTTGAGGCAGGGTGACCCCTTATCCCCGTATCTCTTCCTGCTTTGTGCGGAGGGATTATCCACTTTCACGACTAAGGCAGTAAATGAGGGCCCACTGCATGGTCTGGAAGTGAAAAGGGGAGCCCCGGTGATTTTCCACTTGTTTTTCGCTGACGATAGTATCTTTTTTGCCAGGGCCACTCAGCAGGAAAGTTTGGAGCTGAAAGCTATTCTTAAAGCCTATGAAAAGGAGTCTGGACAATTAGTGAATTTCCAGAAGTCTGAGGTATCTTTTGGAGCGAATGTGAAGACACATAACAGGCTGATTGTCAGTTCAACTCTTGGAATGAAGATGGTAGACAAACACGACAAATATTTGGGACTGGTGACTGAGGTGGGGAGATCCAAGAAGGAGTTATTTGGTACACTAAAGGAGCGGGTTCGACAAAAGCTAAAAGGCTGGAAAGAGAGAACAATGTCGGTGGCGGCTAGGGAGGTGCTAATAAAATCTGTAGCCCAGGCACAACTCACTTATGCGATGTCGGTTTTTAAAATACCGGAGGGAGTCATTGATGAAGTGCACAGTTTGATTACGAACTTCTGGTGGGGACAAAAAGGGGTTGAAAGGCGTGCCCATTGGCTACGAAGGGAGGAGCTGGTTGTGATGAAGGAAGAAGGCAGGATTGGATTCCGAGATTTAAAGGGATTTAATTTGGTTATGCTTGCAAAGCAACTTTGGTCTTTACATGAGCGACCGAACTCACTCATAGCTCGGATCTTTGCGGCAAAGTATCATAAGAATGGGTCGATTCTTGACGCACAGCTCGGGCACAGACCAAGTTTTGTATGGCGAAGTTTGCTTAGTGCTCAAGAGTTTTTGTGCAACGGGCTGAGATGGAGGATAGGGAATGGAGCACAAGTTCGTATCTGGGGAGACAGGTGGCTTCCAGACTCTGAGCAAGGTTTTGTTGATGCTGTACCACGGGGGCTGCCAGTAGATGCTACGGTCCGTGACCTTATTAATCCAAGCACGGAACAGTGGGACGAGGGAGTTGTGGAGAGTTGTTTCCCGACGGACATAGCCCGGGAGGTCCTTTCTATTCCGCTGCGGGGAAGTGAAGTGCAGGACCAATTAGTTTGGAATCATGGAGTGGATGGCAAGTTCACTGTAAAGGAAAGCTATGGTTGGTGGTTGACTACTTTCAAACAAGAGAATGGAATTGTTACGGACGGTGACAAGAGCTTTTGGCAGGCTATTTGGGGAATTAACACCCCACCGAAGGTCCGTCACTTTCTATGGAAATTTGTGAGGGAAGCCCTCCCAACTGGAGTGAAGGTAAGTGCCCATGATCCGAGGCGTAGTGACACATGCCCTTTCTGTAATCAACCGGAAACTCAACGCCATCTCTTCTTTGAGTGCGGATGGAGCTGCAGAATTTGGTGAGGGTCCAACTTAGAGAATGCTTTTGATATGAATGGATTGTCGAGTTGTATGGACAGGGTAAAGAAGAGCATGAAGGAACTAGACAAATCTGCCGTGGAGCAATGGGTGATGATAATGTGGGCAATCTGGAAGGAACGAAACGCCCAACTGTTTAATGGTAGTAAATGGCCGGAAGATGAGATTATCATAAGAGCTTTAGCCCTTCTGGATGAATACAGGGAGAACCAGTCAAGGGGTGCGGGTGCAGATTCAGCGCCCAACGTGGAAGCTTGGAAACGACCCCCATCTGGGCAAATCAAAGTGAACACTGACGCTGGTATGATTGGAGGCGAAGGAGCTGGCCTGGGGGCGGTCATCCGTGATCATGAAGGGCGATTTCTTGCAGCCGCTGCGAAGAATGTGAGAGGACGTTTTCAGGTTGAAATGGCAGAGGCTCTTGCAGCCGAGTTTGGAGTTCAGTTGGCGTGCCAGCTGGGCTACAACAACCTGATGTTGGAAGTTGACTGTTTAACGCTTGTGGAGAAGCTAGCTAGATTGGAAGAAGTACATACTGAAATTGGCCTTATTGGCAGGAGCATAATCAACTATCTAGGAGGTGAAGCAGTGATTGAGGGCTGTATCTGGCACGTGAGGAGAGGGGCGAACAATGCGGCACATATTATGGCCCATAGTAAAACTCATTGGGATTCTAGGGAGGTTTGGCTAGAAAGGCCACCGATTTATCTAGTTGACCAGCTAAAGCTGGATGATGTAACCAGTATCAGTTCTTAATATATATCTACAGGTTACCAGTCAAAAAAAAATTTTAACATTGTATTTTGAGTATGCATGCATTTTTTGCTAATTTACATTTAGGCCTCGTTTGGAGCTTCCAATT